CCCGGCGAAGGTAATTACATGCGGGTGGTCGGCTTGGTGGCTTTGACCAGCAGCTGACACCAGTGTACTGTTCTCCACCAGTTCCATCTTATACGGGGAGGGCAAGGACAAACTACCGGCGCAGACCACCTCGATGTGTTTTTACTCCTTCACCTGCTCCTGTGGGGCAGAATATATTGGCTGCACGAGCCGTCGTTTATCCAAAAGAATGAAAGAACATCTCCCAGCATGGTTAGGAAAGGGACAAATAAAGAACACCAACAGCTCGATCCTCGCGCACACGGCTTGGTGGCTTTGACTCATGGTAACTGTGGGACCTGTAGAAGTTCTTCTGTGCGCATAGGACCGGTCGGCGTAGCCTCATTGCAGCCGCCTCTGCCGTAGCCAACAAGCGCTGCCCAAGCAGTTTTGGATAGCTTGATGGGACCTTGTTAATCACTCTGAAGGCATCTCTGGCGTCTACACGGTGGTTTGTGTCTACCATGTGCGCGAGGATCGAGCTGTTGATATTCTTTATTTGTCCCTTTCCTAACCATGCCGGGAGATGTTCTTTCATTCTTTTAGATAAACGACGGCTTGTGCGGCCAAGATGGTTTGCCCCACAAGAGCAGGTGAAGGAGTAAAAACACACAGAGGTGGTCTGCGCCGGTAGTTTGTCCTTGCCCTCCCTGCATAAGATGGGACTGGTGGAGAAAAGTACACGGGTGTCAGCTGCTGGAAGGGTCTGTGAGACAGCTTGCGTAAGGCGTCTTCTTAAGACCTCACTTTATGCATCCCTTTGGAATGGGACCCTGATAAATAGCCTTTTCTTTCTTGCCGTCAGTATCGATCAGGATACCCGTTTTGGCGAAAGAGGCTTTCGATGATCTTCAGCTCTATCTCTCTTGCGGCTATCAGCTGAGCAGATACTTCTGACTCTTTCTGTCAAACATCGGACTAAATTACGTTTAACGTTTAGCGGTACGAAACTCCCAAAATGGGGTTATTGTCCGGACCACGTTTTCTTACGATAGACACTGCTTCGAATGCTGCCGTCAGGTCTTCTACTGAGAAGCACATCCAGAAAGGGGAGTGAACCGGACTGTTCTTCTTCCAGAGTGAATTTTATTGATGGGTGCGCCTGATTTATGTCATTCAGTAGAATTGAGATGTCTTTTAGTTTCGGTGCAATTGCGAATATATCATCCACGTACCGCCCATAGTATCTTAAACCGTTGATCTGGTGACGTGGCTGGAAAGCCTCTAACTTTCTCATGAATATATTCGCCAAAAGTGGGCCAAGGGGCGAGTCCATTGCTACGCCGTCCATCTGCCTATATAGATTGTTGTCGAATAGAAACTGCAAGTTCAAGGTACACCTCAATAACAATTCCTTGAGGGCATTCACTAGCATTCCTATATTATGCTGATTGTCGGTTGATTGCCCTTATCGCTCAAACGTTTCGGTGTGTAACTTATTACCATATAAATGTAAAGACCCGATAAAAATTTGTCGAAAGCACGCATATGCTAGCAAATGCTCTTTTTAATTAAATAACGCGTTATAATATTTACGTGGAATTGAATTAACAATCATATACACATATGTATATCCCGTCCAGCATCTCCAAAAGATGACGAAGAAGAAGAAGAAGAAGAAGAAGAAGAAGAAGAAGACGAGGCGATTCCGTGGACCACAGTGTATTTTTACTGACGTTTCAGAAACTTCCTCATTCCAAACATCAGAGTGGTGGGATGTTTGTTCCTGCATGCCCAGAGTTGTTCTGCCTCTCAGCCTGTCTCGTGTTACAGACATGTCCGATGCACGAACTCTGACCTGTCTGCTGGTGGGTGATTGGCTTTCGTCTCTCCGTGGCCGACCGCTGGGGCGCTCGTATGACCTCTGCCCGCTACGCGGCCGTCGTTGTCGCCGTTAGGTCCGTGTTCCCGTGTGCTCTCCCCCCATACCACGATGGGTTGATCAGCTGCCTTCGCATGTGCGAATTGCGGTCAGCTGTTTGGGCGCGTCGGTGGGTCGTTGTCTCGCGTCGGTCGTCTGATCCCCGGCTGGCTCTTTCCTCCTGCTGTGAAGGTGGCAACTGTGATTTGTTCGACAGTGCTGTCGGCCTGGTCTGGACTGACTGGAGCCTCGTACGTAGCACTTGGTAGGCGTGATGAAGATCAATGGCTCTGTTGATTGTGTCAACTGAGGACCAACTGTTGAGAACCAGTCTAGCCATCTTGTCGTTGGCTCGGCTGATGACGCTTGCTACTCCAAAGGCGAAACTGTGTTTCTCCTTTTCTACGCGGCCATATACCAGTGACAGCTTATCCTCGCGGTTGACTGGATGCTGGTGCGCGCGACACCCCAACCTTTGGACTGTCAAAATGGCATTACCAACGCTTCCGTTTCCTGACGGAGGATTCCGAATGAACAGTGAAGACGGTTGAGCAGTTCCTGGGGAGTATCAGGCATATATAAACTGAGCCATACTAGATGATGGTATCGTTTGAACGTCGTTTCTTTTGATAACGACAAGTGTGTCATCGACATATCGGGCCCAAAATTTTGGGGAGTACGATCAGAAGACCAGTAGCCCTAGTCTCTGCAGAACAGCCTCGGCAATCAGCCCAGGCAGCGGGGAGTCCATCGGTGTTCCCTTCTTCTGCTCGTAAACTCGGTTGTTGAGAGTGAAGAAAGTTCTACGGCACAGTTCCAGGAGTTCAATGACGTGCGTTCGTTTAATTTGTTGATCATTTTCATCATACTTTTCCTGAAGACGCTCTTCAATTGTGCTGATGGCAAGGCCGGTTAGAATAGAGGTGAATAAGGGGACCTCGGTAAAAGCATACTGCCTATATCGTGCGCCGTTCAGCGTCTGCTTTTTGAGCTCAAGAGAGAACCCGTAAGGCACAACGGAACGAGTAATTTCCGTAAGAACGTTCCTTGAGCGCCCCCGGCCGTGTTATATATATGTATAGGCACAGTACTATTACCAACTAAGATAAGGGAAACTGGAATGACCATTTCTGGTTTATTAACCGCCGTCAGCCAGTCATACTTAACGCTGACGTGTGGACCACCTGGAGTTCGATCCCGTGACCTGCTGGCTTGAAGTCCAACGCTCCTAATCCCTAAGCCACGAGCTGGTTGTCCTGCCGATTGCAAAAGTGAATGCACAATGGTAGAGGGACGTTTATTGATCGTGTGATGATCACAGGTACTCCACACCTCGGGCATGATTATGATTAACTGTTGAAAGCGAATGAGCCAGAAATGACCATTTCAGTCTCCTTTGTCTCTGTTTTTTTATACTACTCTGCCTACATTACGCGCCGCTGCGCGTCTGCTGGTTGGCATACTGATTAGGGTAACGGATACACTGGTCTAGCTTAATGCTTTGGGGCTCAAGCTGACCATCGACGGCTGGCGATTACGCGGCCGATGAGATAACGAACTCGTGACTCAAGGTTTAGGGCCTTGGACTTCTATCCAACAGATCGCAGGTACGAGCTACAGGAGTTGCAGGCCTTGAGGTTGTGCACGGCTGGCTGATGGCGACTAATAAGCCAAGAATGGCTATTCCGGTCCCGATTGACTTCGTCGGCAAGGGACCACATACTGTCCATCCAATTTTTCTGTAGACATACGATTCAGAAGATGAAGATGCGATCACTGGAACAAGAACTTTATTTGCCTGGCGTTTCGGATCCTTACCCAAATCCATCATCAGAGCCATTAGCAGACAGAGGTGAAGGTGGCACCAGGAGTGCAGTATTTATAGCACGTGGCTGCCGTGGGACCGTATGCGCACTGCAATTAACAGTTCTCGCAATCACCGCTGGGGTCGTAATTGATGCGGTGGTGGCTTGTCGGTCCAAATCCGAGTCGTCAATTGCCGCGATTTCGCCATACTTGCTGGAGGCTGGTGTGACGATTGCTCGGCAAACTGGCTCACTGTCACCGTGATAATTGCTCACCCGCGCCCTCCCCACGTGACTGATTCTCCTGCCCAGGGAAAATCGAAGTACAGTAGATGTGCTAACTCATGAAATGTCAACTAAAATTTCGAAATGCGTTCTCGTTCTGAAAAGATAAATTAAGTAGTGTTGTAAAACTACACATAATGCAGCATAAATCTATAATGATCCAGTTACTCCAGGGTGTCGGCTTTCAAAAGAACTTATTCTCGGCTGTATGCAAGATCTATACTCTGCAAAATATGACTCCTTATGTAGCATGCAATTTTCTCATTGATTTTCGATGCCCTTGAAAATTCAACTATATTTCATGAAAAACATGCATAAAAATATTCGTTCTTTTACTTATTTGGTAGAAAATCATGTCTTCTTCCAATTTCAAACTCAAAAGAATGGTACAATTCGGTTTTAAAAAAACCTTTCTAATTCCCGAATAATTTTGAAACCGACCTGCTGTTACACTTGCATTCAGGGTTTCAAAACTACAAGCTGTATATTTTCCGTGTACGGAAAACCATGCATTTCTCTATGGTATTAAGAGGAGGCCATATGAGGCTCATAAAATTAAGCAGTGGATTTGAGCAATATTGTTAACTTTACAAGCCACATTCGTAAATGCAGATACATGACGTTTCATGAACGGCCATTCAACGGTATTAAAAAATCTCACAATTAGAAACTTTTTTAAAACCGAATTACACTCTTCTTTTGAGTATTAAATTGGAAGAAGACGTGAGTTTCTACCGAATAAGTAAAAGAATAAATATTTTTATGCATGTTTTCCATGAAATATAATTGCATTTTCAAGGGCATTGAAAATCAATGAGAAAATTGCATGCTACATAAGTAGTCATTTTTTGCAGAGTATAGATCTTGCATGCAGCCGAGAATAAGTTCTTTCGAAAGCCAACACCCTGAGGTAACTGGATCATTATAGATTTATGCTGCATTATGAGTAGTTTTACAACACTACTTAATTTATCTTTTCAGAACGAGAACGCATTTCGAAATTTTAGTTGACATTTCATGAGTTAGCACATCTACTGTACGCTATAGGGTACCGGGAGGTCATTGTGCATGTTGATGGATTGCGGGCCTGAGAACCATGACTCGAGCAGCTCGCGGCTCACGCGTCTGTCACCCCTTGCGAGGATTTCGGCCTCTTGAAATTCGAAAATATGGCCGGGTCCCGTCGAGTGTGCCGCCACTTGAGAGTTAGCGTCTCCCCGCCTCACTGCTGCTGCGTGCTCTGCAATTCGCGTACGGAGTAATCTCCCAGTTTCTCCGACATAATTGCTTTGTCCGCAACTACACCAGATCCGGTAAATGACTCCAGACGTGTCCTGCCGTGGCAGCGGGTCTTTTGGCCTCATGACTCGGCGCCTAATGGTTACTTCCGGCCTGTGTGCAACCCCAACTCCAAGTGGAGTGAGAAGACGACTGATGGCTTCCGAGACGTTCTTCACGTACGGAAGAGCCCGCCAAAATTTGGGGCTGGTTGTATTTGGTCTCTGGTGTCCTTTTCGTATGCACTGGTTGACAAAGTTGCGCGGGTAACCATTGGCTCTCATTACCCGTCGAAGATATTGTAATTCAGCAACCTTGCCTTCCATTTCACTGCAGTGCGTCTCAACGCGCCGGTAAAGCGCCCTTACGCAACTGCGTTTGTGACTGATTGGGTGGTTGATATTGAAGTTCAGTATTTGCGTCGTATTTGTCGCTTTCCTGAACACTTTGGTTTTTAGGCCACCACAATCTTTGCGGCAGACGAGGACATCCAGGAGGGCCAGCTGATTGTTCTCCTCCTTCTCCATCGTAAATTGAATGTCCGGGAAGACCGCATTCAGACGTTCCTTGAGTGTCAGCACCTGATCCCGTTTGATGACGACAAAGGTGTCATCCACATACCGAGCCCAGAATTTCGGTCTGCGGTGTTGGAAAACCAGCGACTCCAGCCGTTGAAGGACCGCCTCGGCTATGAGTCCCGAAATCGGCGAACCCATTGGCGTTCCCTTCACCTGCTCGGAGATTGTTCCGTCGAACGTAAAGTACGTCTTGCGACAGAACTTCAGGAGCTGGATGATTTGGGCGTGTCCGAGGCGATTCTCCGTTTCGTCGTATTTCTCTCGTAGAAGTAATTCGATGGTCTCGACTGCCAGGTCCTGTGGGATAGAAGTAAAAAGGGATGTGAAATCAAAGGAAACCATGAGATCGCTTGGCAGGAGACTTACTTCTTTAAGTTTCTCCAAGAATTGCGTTGACGAGCTGACTGTTGTGTTCGAATCGGAGGTCAGAAACTTGAAACGTTGGAACAGCCAATTTGCCAGTCCGTAGGTTGGAGTGCCCTTTAGTGATACGATAGTCCGGAGAGGAGCGCCCTCTTTGTGCACTTTTGGGAGACCGTAGAATCGGGCTGGGGCCGTTTCTTGTGCTCTCGCCATGCGTCGGTCGATTGGCGATATTGCACCTGAGTTCTCCATTGCCAACAGAGTCGCCTTAATCTCGCGTGTCAGCGTTTTCATGGGGTTGGATTCGCATGGGACATAGGACTGACGATCCTTCAACAAGCTTTTGGCTTTTTGATTGTAGTCTGTCCTGTCCTGTCTGCCCTGACATACGATTATTAACCGACCACGTGAAACGTTAACTGAAATCTCGGGACGTGAGTTACTTTTTGAGGGAGAATTTAAGTGGGATTTTGCTGTTTATTAATGTTCAGCATGACACGAAGTTAGTAATTTCACACCAAAATGCCGACGTTTGACTGGATTTCGTGTCGGCCCTATGATGTTTTCTGCGCAGTATGAATGCCTCCATAAATTTAAACACATTTTATAGGAACCAAAGTCAAAAAATGTTTTTATAAATAAACGATAATGAATTACTCTTTTGGTAAATTTAAACGAAAAATGGCTTTTTATTATGAAAACGTTCACAATTATGTGAAATGTTCACTTAGACATCACAGCATATTCTCGTTTATTTGTACTCTTTATGAAGTATGCTACATAGTCCACATCCATTGCAAAATTTGCCGACTCCAAAAACATGTCTTTTTATAGCTCAGATGAATTTGTAATTTTCCCTAGATGGAAAGTGCACATCTCTCAGAAATGGAAATTCAAAACTTTTAAACCCCAAATATGCCCGCCCTTTACGAAATTCGAGCAAAGCGTGATGTTTTACCAAGTGAGCACTCAAAGGCATATTATTGCCTGTTTTGCCAAAAATATATGTTTGAATTTATAAGGACGTTTAGAACTAGTAGGCAAAATCGTGATACTGACATAGTCAACTTCGAAGCAGTGTTTTCCCGGCATAAATTTGAACAAGGCGAAGGCGACAAAGCATGCAGAATTTAATGACGTCATAAATTTCGAGAGTTTATAAGTTTACATGTAGTTGCGGATGCAAGTACATCGGGCTCACGCAAAGGCAATTGACAGCTCGGTCAGCTGAACACATGCCGAAGTGGCTGCTTAAGGCGGAAAATAAGGTACCCAGGAGTTCAATCACAAAGCACCTAGTGGACACGGGCCATACGGTGGACCCAATGGTTGCATTCAATGTCCTGTTTCGGGAGACGACCGGGCGTCTCTTGCGCTTTGCAGAGGCCGCTGCAATACGAAGGAGGAAACCAGAGCTCTGTAAGCAGCTGGACCATGTGATAAACCTGGCACTGCCATGGTAATTATCGATTATGGACGAAACCCTGTTCCCATGTACGCCCTCTCATTTCGCATTTGCATGCTTTGTCGCCTTCGCCTTGTTCAAATAGTCAACTTTCTCCTAGTGGAATTTTTGCCAAAGTCGGTAAGAAGCTCATGCAAAGCTGGTCAAAACATCTTGGGATTTTGCTGCATGATGAGTATGATATAAGCGTTCTTTAGTATTCCCTTCTAATCAAATACGCACTTCAGTAGTTCGGTTGATGTTTCACATCACTGATTACTGACTGTAGCTCACATTTGCCAAAAGACTACTAAGAGTTCCGTTATGGTGTTGTTGGCGTATACTCATCAACAGACGGTTATTTGCGCATGCAAACATCATAACTGCCCAACAGATCACAAATATTGACAACGAAATTCACGCTGGAATGCATACGCTGCTTACGCCGTTATTTTTACGTAAATGCTATTTTTACACATTCAGCATCTAGTATTTTGATGCATATGAATTGCCTTGAACTGCCGTAGTTTGCCAAAGAGTGCTGCATTTACACCTGAGTATTACCTCCCAAATAAGGCCATACTTTAGACTTTCTGTCGAACTTCTGCACGACTGGCCACCTATCACTTCGGTTCTCCGTCACTAGTAAACCGGCTTCCTTTTTGCTAGGCATGACATTCCAACTTGTTGCCTCCTTCACGCTGAATAACCGGCTGTTAGCCCACTTTGGCTGAGTCATTCAGCAAGGCACCCTGCCTTGTCTGGCATGTCATAAACTGGTGCCATAGTTTGCCACAACAAACTGTGACTCATCCGCCACGTGGTTAACGTAGACTTCCGTCTTCTCACAGTGGCAATCTCCTTCGTCAAGAGAGTGCTTTTCTGCACACTCCTAATGGTGTTTTGGCATGACGGTCGGTATTTTTCCGCGCCTCCGACTGCCAACCTCCCCGTCATCCAAGTGGGAAGGAGCTCGACCCCGGCGTCGAAATACCTCCTGCTCCGGGCCGGTACGAGTAAAGCGCTTGTGGGAGTGTTGTCCGTTTTGCGTTGTTGTTGTTGCAGATTTAAGAAGACGCCTAACCCAAGCTGTAGCACAGACCTTTCCAGCAGCTGACACCCGTGTACTGTTCTCCACCAGTCCCATCCTATACGGAGAGGGCAAGGGCAAACTAACAGCTCAGACAAACTCCACGTGTATTTACTCCTACACCTGCCCCTGTGGGGCAGAATATATTGGTCGCACGAGCCGGCATTTATCCAAAAAAATGAAAGAAAATCTCCTAGCATGGTTAGGAAAGGGACAAATAAAGAACATCAACAGCTCGATCCTCGCGTATATGGTAGACACAGTCCACCGTGTAGACGTCAGAGAGGCCTTCAGAGTGATTAACAAGGTCCCATCAAGCTATCCAAAACTGCTTGGGCAGCGCTTGTTGGCTACGGCAGAGGCGGCTGCAATCAGGCTACGCCGACCGGTCCTATGCGCACAGAAGAACTGCATACAGGTCCCACAGTTACCATGGGTCAAAGCCACCAAGCCAGTTACCAGCATGTAATTACCTTCGCCGGGACCCACCTTCTCCCTTACGCTGACTGGATTGTGGTTTTTCACTCTCCCCTCCCCTACCCTCCCCTCCCCTCTCCAAAACCAAGCTATAGCTTTATTATGTACTTGCCCGTATCTTTTAATTCATTAATTCAATAGCCATAGAAATGTACTGGCCTGAAGGGAATTTATCGAAAGCAGACGTA